TCTTCAAGAAGCTCCTCCTCCTCCGAGTGGCCTGCACGAATTTAATCATCTGTCTTCAGCCCTCTCCGTTTCACTCTCTTCATAACCTCGGCCGTTCCCATGGCTACGCCGCTGTACCCGAGGCACGGTTAGCTGGAGGGCCACGCAAACTCGTGGTCTCTCATGGCACTGGCACTTCGCCAAGAACCAGCCTTAATAATGTGATACTGTTACACCAGCACATCACACACACCCTGGCCTCGAGAGCCAAGAGGAGAGGCTTGTTTCTACCACGTTGTTTGTGTTGACGTTTTCTCTCTCTGTGTGCGTGTGCGTGTGTGTGTGTGGTCTCGCTGCCAGGGGGAATGCCAAGTTCCCTCTCACCCTGTGTGGAATGTGGCAGGCAGAGCAGACCTGTGTGTGAGAGGGAGATCACTGTGGGAGGAGAAACTAGTTAAGCCGACACGACTGAAAGAAAGAATCAAGATTTTCAATAGTGACGCCATAAAAAAATCGGATGTCCCCTTTTCATGTTAAATTGGGTGACACAAAGAGAAAATGTTTCATCATCCAAATCCAAACACCTACATTACATGTTCATATCTCACAACTTATTTCAGAGTTTACGGATTTCAGTGATTTTTAATGCAATATGATGCAAGTTTAGAATCACTTTTTATATTGATGTTTTTCTTATTTCCTTCACAATGGTTTAACACTTGCAAAAAAACTGTATTCATTAAGTTGAATTAGTTTTTTTCCCCAAAATAAGTGGAATGAAATGGTTAAACCTTCCATTTACAGTGCTGCATGACAGGAGGAGATGATAACCATTTTTCCCCAAAATACCCTCTGAGTTTGAATTTTTTTCTAGTCCAGAAAAGCCTATGTTACCCTTGATCATTATGGGACCACAATGGTACATTTGGGCTCTATATATTATGGGAAGTCATTTTTGTTTTTGGCCCTCTGCAGCCAGCTACTGGTTAGATTGAATAGGTTTAAACTATGATTTGTCAGTCCTGAGTATGTACAGCTGAACGTCTCTGATCCAATTCCAATAGCGGTGCAGGGGACACGTCCAGTTCAATATTTAGAACGTGCATATGTCCCCACCCCCAATAAAAACAAAAAAGTAGCAGACGAGTATTATTTTGACAAAATTAAAGACATTTGCACAAAAATTGATGCAGAAAAGGCACAAATTGATTCATAAAAATTCACAGAAATCCAGAAAATTCAGTGTCTAATGCCCTACGTTTCCTGGGAGGGGACCCCAAGCCCCATGAATATTTGTTCCTCCAACCCTAGACCAGGTGTCAGCAACCTTTACTATCAATAGAGCCATTTTTGACCAAAAATCATTTGAAAAACTGCCTAGAGCTGCAAAACATATTTAAGTCCTATGGCAACGCAGCCTATTATGTCTCAAGTAGCCTATTTTCATAAACGCTTTACCAGGTCTGCAGCGGGTTATTTGCTATTACGTGGTACGTTAACTCTGCAGCGTTAGCGGTGAAAGCCAATGAGACTATCTATGCACTATTAAATTCTCTATTTGTCTCTGAAACTTTCACTTAACTTTTACTGAATTTGGAATCTATAGCTAGCCAAGCGAGGGAAACTCAAGACTACTGTAGCCACTGCTGAGGTTCAGCAAAATTTATTAGGGCCAAGACAACAACAAGAAAACAACCATGATTTAATTCCATGTGATTTTTTTTTGCCAAAGCCACAGGGAGCCAAGGGAGAGGGGCCAGAGAGCATCATGTAGCTCCAGAGCTGCAGGGTGCCTTCCCCTGTCCCAGACTAACCTTCAATTTTATTGTGAAGTTTGAAGAATAGCCTGGCCAAAGCAACACGTTGCCCTTTAATTCCAGCTGGTTATAGGCATGTTTGTGCACCTGACACTGGAAGAGGATCCTGCTCGTATTTAAATCTGCATGTTTTGATGCTAAGCTTCCAGTTTCTTTACCGGAACACAGTTGATTTCCTCTCTTCTTATGGTAACTGGTGCTCAGAAGGATCATTGTCTCTTTCTGCCTGTCCTCCTAGATAAACCATTGTACAACATCTAGTTCTCCATGTACAAAACTTTGCTTTTTTTTTTGCAAAAGCATGAAAAACCATTTAAAATTAGTCATCTCAGCCATCTGTCTGTACCCAATCAAGCTTTTTTGGCAGGCAATTCTAAATTTTTGAACAGTACTGTGTCTAAATTTTAGCAGTATTTAAAGAGAGCTGCTGTTTGGACTTTACATCCTGATAATTCAGTACGCAGCATGCAAATTATCTCTAAATAAACTGCGCACCTGTCCCTCCTTTCACAGCCCAGCCACAGGTGGAGGCCTGTTACTGCGAGCAATGGTGGTTCAATAACCATCTCTATTTAGAGACTCTGACCTTTCAAAGCCTGAGAATGTCTCTCGTTTCCCTTCCTTCTTTTAACTGTGGCCATGGTGATAAGGGGACAATGTGCGTGTGTTTGGTGTTTATCCAAGTGTGTACGTGCATGCGTGCTAACGTGTGTTAGAGAACGATGTTGTTTCCTCTTCCCTACCAAACACTAACCAAATACAGGTAATTGAATCACAGTGTGTCCACTTAGTGTGTCTGTGTGTGTGTTGACTTTCCTGTAAATGTGTTTACAGAGCACTTAGCAGGAAGCTTGAGCTCGCTTTGGAAGTTTTCAGTTGTTGAACATGTAGAAATAGTTGCATTTTTCCTAAATAAATGAATTAAATTGTCGCATAATGAGTTTAATTTAGATATTAAAACCTGAATGAATTTGGAAATTGTTCCTCCTCTGCAGCAGCCAGCACATAAACGTTCCAGATAAGTCCAGAAAGACATGACAGTGGCCGGGGGATCAGCTCTCTCCTTTATCTGTGCTTTTCCTTCTCCCAGGCTGGAATGTTAATGGTGGCTTTGTGATGGGTTCAGCTCTCCTGTGTGACTGACAGGCTGACTGGCAGCTCTCAAAGACTCTTAATGGCAAAGCTGAGAGACTTCAGTGTTTTGAAAGAATGAGAGCTTTTATTTGATTCGAAGCAGCCTCCAAGGTTAGAGAAAAGTTCATGCGGTTCTTCTTCCATTAGATGTTTTTTATAAAATGTCTGTTTGCAGTCTTGTTACCAGTTGGTTGTGTGGTGCAAGTGAACATTGTTACCTGCATGCAAATAACGGTGCATTGTGTAGTTAGCAATGCGTTAAATTCCTTCAGAACCCTGACGCAAATCTGTAGAAAAAGCCCCATAAGTCGGTCTATATGCTCAGTATCCTTGTAGAAAAAGTGTAATAATGTCAGGCTTTAAAAGTCATCCTCAGCAGGTATTTTTTAATATCAAACAGATAAGAGTATGTTCTACAGCCATGACTGGAGGGCTGACGCTAACAGCTAAATAAGCTAAAGCTTTACCCTGCCTGTGTTATTGCGGTATTCTGGGCCTGGAGGCGTCTTTCAGATGTAAGCAGTGATCTGTCAGGGCTTGCTGATATGCAGCACTACCAAATGTCCATGGAAACACTCCATTATTGAACAGAAAGGATCACAGGAAGCTGTAGCATGCTGCCAGCTAGGGCTGTACCCAACTCAGAATCATGTCAGTCGGCTCAGATGTGGCTGTTCAATACAAATATTTGACTGTTTGCTCCTTTTTTTTAAATATAGAGTTTGATAGTTTGAACAGGGTTCAGAGGGACATTCAAAGCTCCACATAGCTCTGTATGCAAGTCAACCAGAGGTCCTTTCATTCTTATGAGAACCTCTGTGATCTCTGATGTGTTTGTGTCTTCAGTTTTCATTGTTTGTTTTGTTTTATTGGTCTGGAATTTGCCTTGAATACGTTGAAAAATTAGAACTTTTTGGGTCAGATTTTGGACAGACTGTATGCACTGCCCCACAGGAAGTTAGAATAAAAAGGAACAAACCGACAGATACATTTTTTTTCTATGTGAAATGTTCAACAGCATACTTAGCAAGCTAACACTGGTAGCATGCTAGCTGTGAGTCCATGCACCGTGGGTCATATGTCTTGTAATAAAATATTTCACACACTGACTACACACCTATCAGGCTAACTCCTCGCTTATTTGTCACCATGCACTATTGGTCTTGTTTTTGTCTCTGTACTGCTCCATGAGCAAATTCAACAAGATTGGATGGCAAAAAAAACATCAAAATTACCTTTTCTGCCATTTCCGCATTGCAGTTTCTAACAGTAACAAGATGCATTTCCTTATGTTGAACACTAGGGGGCTTACTTCATATACTACAGAGAGTTCCAGGGGTGACGTTTATCTGTAGGCCGACATGGAAGCTAGCATCGCGCTGGTTCCCTTGTCAAAAAGCCTAGAGGGTTTTTCCAATGCAGTTTGGATTACTGTCGAAAATAAGCTCTGTGGGAAACAGAAATTAATGAAACTTACACATTTTTTTGTACAATTCTGAACAATTTCAGTGTTCAAGAGTGGGGTGTTTACTACCATATTTTATGTAGTAAATCAATCAATCATTAACTTGTGTTAACCACAGACCTTATTTAAGGTATCTAACCAAAAAACTATTCAAAATAACCATTGACTTGGAGATTAGAGAATTGTGAGTGGTAAAATGCCAACTCATTTCAGGTGACTTTTTTTTTTTACCTCTAGGCAGAAGGCAAAAGGTAACATTATCTTGGAGCCTGAGCAGGAAAGCCTCTTATTCTCGGAGCATTCAGACTTACCCTGGGTCTGGGTCTGCAGCTGCCTGTACTGGAGAGCAGCATGAAAGCAAGGAGCGTTCACTCTGTAGTACACTACAAACTGACAGACCCATACAAACAAACAATAAATAGAGGACTGCTCGACTTGAAAAATCTAAACATCGATGATGATTCGAATCTTTGATGTTCAGAAGGCAGCCTTACCAACCCTCTCTGCAATATGACGTTAGAGTAAAATGCAGGGCCGTAATAAATCTTTAGTGACGGTCAAAGTGTTTGAGGCAACAGCTGATTTGCCATTTTCCTGTCTCATAGGCTACCTGTCCAAAGTGTTGAGGAATTACACCGAGCAGGCCTGTGACGGAGACTTCCTGTCTGTTCGCTGCCCACCACGCACCACCATCACCGTCCAATCAGCTTTCTACGGAAGGAGAGGCGCCTCTGACCCCCAACAGTGCCCCCAGACCTACCAAGCCCTCCTAAGTTCGTATAACGGTCGGGAGGATGACCGATATTGTTCTGTGTCCACCGCACTACAGGTAAATAACGAAGCTCACACGTTTCTGCTAGTGTTTTGTGTCAGGAAAGGATTGTTTTGTCACCATTTTGGTTACTTTTCCTCATTTTTTAACCTTGAAGCCTAAATTAATTTTGTACAGGTCTCTGAATTTATCCCCAGTGTTTCCCATGCTTCCCTAGACCTTGATCTCATATCTTTATATGGCTTCCCTCCTTCAGTTAGTGCACCCCTCACACACATGTACACCCTCACTTGTGGGCTGCAGATCCTTCTGGGAGAAAGTGTCCTGTAAAATGGTCAAATTGGCCAAGGGTTATATTTTGGAGGACTACTGATTATGTAATGCTTTGTGAGGACGTTTTCCGGCAAATTACACCCTCTAAAGAGGAAGCATGCTTGTTCCCATGACACAAAGCGATTTCATGGGGTCTTTGCCTTAGCATCCTCTCCTAAATTGGGATGTGGCTGGACTGGAACCCCTGCTTTGCAGCACCAATACAAACACACACAAACAAACACATCCTGTTCAGCATTCATTCGGTTGTTTGGTTTATTCTTAGTCCCCCTGCCTTCTAGCGTCGAACACCCTCCGTTTCCATAATAGACAGGACAGCCATGAATGCACAGACACAGAGAGTGCATTGTGCTGAAGTGAGAGAATGACTGACTGCTGCGCCACCCACATTAGTACAACCCTGAAGAATCCCATTGTACCACCTGTTCATGACCCCTGGTTTGTTGGCATTACATGAATGTCTCCATATAAAAATGCCTAGTTCAAGGGCATCTCAATCTAATGGTTATTTTCATTCTCCTTTTAAGTGGAAACAGACAACTTTTCAACTTTTCACCACATAGCATTTGCAGGTGGTATTGTTGTTGGCACCACTGTCGCTAAGACAACCAGATTACCTTCCGTTTTCCTCAGAGCTTAGCAACGGGGCTCTTTTTCTTTTGATGGGTGGAGTTTCCACAGTAACTGTGGTTGTTTCACCATCCACCATTTCCGCTCTGGGGATAGTAACTGCAAAGAACTTACACTGTCACTTCTGATATCTGGGGATAGCTACAGATAGCTACCATTTAAAAAATGTCGGTGAAGATTCTCACTCATTCATGTCATGGTAATCATAAGTGCTATAGCCTATGGTAGGCAACTGGACTTGCTTGGTAATCAGCCAGCTTCCGAGATGTTCTTTCGAATTCCCATACCATTTGAAGGGCTTTCTTCCCAAATTGATTGGCAACATGTCAGTGAAGATTCTCAGTCATCCAGGTCATGGTAATCATAAGTGCTATATGGAAGGCAAGTGGACTTGCTTTGTAATCAGACAGTTTCCTAGATGCTCTTTCGAATTCCTGTAAGTTGAAGGGCACTCTTCCCAAATTGATTGGCAACATGTCAGTGAAGATTCTCAGTCATCAAGGTCATGGTAATGTTTGTGGGCAACTGGACTTGCTCAAAGCCTCAAGCAAGTCCAGTTGCCTATGATATAGCACTTATGATCACCAGGTAAAACAAAAGCACTTTCCTATTCCTGTTTCTGTTGCACAATGGTTGACACACTTTCTTTGTGCTATTAACTGAGCCTTCATTTTCCTGGGAGATCATACTTAAAGGGAAGTAATCAACTGATCATTAATCTAATGATTATAATGACTTCTTCAGAATGTTTTTTGTGTGTGTGACCAATGGTTCAAAAGCCAAAGGTATTTGATAAACAACAATAGGCCTATTGAACAGGGAGAAAACAGCAGATCCTTGCATTTGAGAAGCTGCAAGTAGCAAATGTTTGGCATTTTTACCTGATAAATGACTTTATTGATGAATTGATTATGAAAATAGTCACAGATTGGTTTTCTGGCAATCAAGTAATCAGTTAGTCATTCAATCATTTGACTAATCTAAGTAATTGTCACATTAAAAATGTGGTAGCAGCATCCAGCATTGCAGCACTTGAAATGGATTCTCAATGACAACGTTTCCACGCACACTTTCACTATTATTCTGAATATGACAACATTCTGAATTTGATTCGGGTCATGTAAACAGCATATTCTGTCTGGATATTCTGAATTAGGCTTTTTCGGATTAAGACATTTGAGATAGGCCAATATTATTCAGGTGTATGGAGCATTCTTTGGACATGTATACATAGCATTCAGCCTCAATTGGGGGTTTTATTGCAGTTTGCAACATGCAGCCTCTTGTCTGTTTATAGTGAACTCTGTACGTTGTCATGGATTTGTTGTACTCAAACCAACTAGGCAACAGTTTGCAAGGCTGGTGTAGAAATGCATGCCTAAAAGAAAAGCCCACATTTCTGGTTTCTAGTTCTTGGATCAAGCCTACTGTTAAACATCATGAAAGAATTTGATATCAACAGGTTTTTGGATGTGAGCAAATTCGCAACGCTGACCTCTCTACAGAAGGTAGCTGGAGAAATGAAAAAGGAAGGCTGCTTTCGCACAGCCGAACAAGGCCGCCACAGGTGGAAAATTAAAAAAGTCCAATCATGATGCAAAGCTTAGTAGGAATTTTAACTTTTTTGGAGTAGGGTATGTAAGGGTGTGTATGTAATTGTAGCCAGTGTGTGGCCTTGCGGATGTAAAGATAAGCATTTAATGATATGTGATTCAGAGATCTATGTATCCCTGGTGAATGTTATCCGAAATATTAGGTCGCCTTTTTCTAAAAAAATTTATTGTCAAGAAATCCCATGCAGGTGTATTTGGTGCATCTTTGGGGGAAACACATAAATGTACTTTATTTCTCCCTCTGCATTCCATGATCTATTATAGCAGATGCGTCTCCTTTCATGTTAAATTCGGGGAAGGCTCTGAACAGAATCCATTGAGTCATTCCTCTAGTGAGTGGGATTTCAGTACCAGAGAAGGTATTGTGCTGGAATGTGCTCACCTGGGCTACAGCCGGCCAAAGATGATGAAACCAGAGAAGCAAAAGGATGCCAGGAAATGAGTGGACTGGAGCTTTCTCTTTCCCTGCTCCTCTCCTCCGTATTCCCATGGCCATACGCAGCCTGTTTGAAGTGGTTTTAGGTTTTGCCCGCTGCTGGTCTCACCATCGTTGGCTTATTGTTCTCCCTCTAAACCTCTCTTTGGTCTTCTCCCACTCTCTGTCACTCTTTCCCTCTTTAGAAAATGCTGGACGAGTGCCAAGACAGAAGGAGCTGTCAAGTCCTTGTCAACAGCCGCGTGTTTGGGACAGACCAGTGTCCTGGCAGCAGTAAATACCTCATTGTCTGGTACAAATGCAGACCTAGTAAGTCCCTCATCGTCTTGTATCTTGAAAGTGACACATTTCTGTCCCTCTCTGTGCTGGGACAGTTTTCTCTTTTCCCACACACCTCCACATTTAGTCAGAAATACAACAGTGGTAGGGTCACTGTATTTGCACTTGAGACAAAATATATGACAACATTAACTGTCAAAGGAAATTCATGTCCACATTCTGGTTACTCTAGACGTAGGCATGATTTTAACTGAAATATAATTTATATTTAAAGTGTACATGTAACAGAGTATTTGCAGATTTTACATCATGCCCCTCAAAGGGAAAAATCTACTGAAAAAACATCAGTATTCTCAGTGAAAAGCAGTGAGGCAGAGCAGCATGAGAAAGCTATGATTAATGTCAAGTTTGATTTGTCTGATTCTAAACGTGTCTTTAAATGGATTTTATGTCAAAATATATATTTATCCTCTGCATGTTTCTCCTCATTTGAGTGTGTCACACTAAGCTGTTTTAAAGGAACTGAATGCAACATTCAGAACATATCAGTGATTTAGAGTTTGAGCCAGAATTGACCTTTTGCAAAGCCCCGTCCCTTGTGATGGTCTGACAAGCTGTCGCAGTAAGCATGTAGCCCACACTGTAACTAACTGCACTCCCTGAAGAAATATTATCA